CAAAACTAACGACATTATTAACTGTCTTGATATTACTTTGAAAGCTGACACTCGCGATTATGGTAAGGGGCATTACATTTTCGACGCGTGCTTGTGGTGTTCGGCCAATCACAATGCACTGGGTCAGTGCATAAGAAAGAAGGCGTGAAGAAGGCGTGGCCATTAAAAATGCATTCCTGTTCACCTTGCTACACACACACACACACACACACACATATATATATATGAAATATATCATGTTCTATCTCACCTGAATGATTTTCTTTTCAGTAAAATTACAAATTAAAATATAATCATAAAAATATAACCAACTCTAGCACCATTACTAATATACATCTACAGACAAACAGAGACAATTTTATTGTTATTATTATTATTATTCTGAAATATCTCAGGTGAGAAAGATTTGAACACAACACACAATGCAAGAAATTCCTCTGAGATACATCATGTATTTGATGTATTTCCCGCTCAGTGACAGTAAACGTTCTAAACTCTTCTCAAACATGAATGTTAACACTGGCAGCACTAGTTCAGACCTCAACTTTTAAAAGTGTCAGAGCTGATCAGAGAACAGTCTGAATGGCACTGACCGTATCCGTCTGTCCTCCATTTCTTTCATCAGTCTCTCTCTTTTTTAGAGTGCTATCAGATGCTGACATTTAGATGAATGTTGGGCCTCAGGAGTGAATCTAACCTTTCTGCTCCCAGACAGCGCGGCGCGCACCCATGTGTGTGTGTCTTAAATCTCTCACAGATCTGCTTGGTATCACGCTTTGTCTATTTCAACGCTTCTCAAATTGTGCCAGAATACTTCTCAGATCTGTTGCATTGACCATGAGTTTGCGTTGGTTCTTCTTTTCTTCATAATGCACAGTCAACTGGTCATTAGTGTATGTGTGTGTGTGTGTGTACCTGAAGCCCACGATGGGGAACTCTTTACAGATATTGCACTTGGCTTGGTGTTTGGCCGTTTCTGCTGCCGCCACTCTGTGCAGGACCGGAAGCCAAACCATCGACTGCGGCTCCAGCCTCATCCAATCAATAAACTGCCTCGGCTCCAGCTCCACCTTATTGGTCACCTGAGAACAGAGAGTCAGCACAAACAGCCAATCAGGGAGGGATTTCAGAATGCCTGTACACGGCATGAGAGAATAACTCATAAACAATGCAGCCCGTCTGAAATCAAGATGATGGACGGAGCACTACCTTACCAGACCACCGTAAATGACTGTCAATCGCACGGCTGCCTTTATAGAGATATAACAGCCTCATAAATATTTCTGTGAAGCCTGAGGATTCACGGATTCATTCACACTATCTGCAGTTGCCAGGTGATTTTTAACCAGTGTAATGCTAGGAATATTAGCTACTGTAACGTTTCATCTGTCATATAGCCCTTCTCTGAATTCTCAGAAGCATCTCTGTAAAAAAATTAATTAATTAATGGACAAAATCAGTGATATTAGTACATGGATTAATTGTGACATGTCCCTCGTTAATGAAAACAACACAATAAAAAGAGTTTACAGTAATGCACTTAAGAAGGAAGTCAATGAAGCAAGACGTTCTGAAGGGTTTGAAAGCAGTATGTGGCGCTTGTGTATTTGTTAAAGAGCTTATATTCATGTTTTTTTATTTTCATGTTTTCTAAATCATCCTTTTAGCAGTGGGAATACTGTTACATGTGGATGAAGGTTATTGAGGCTTAATTACTGAAGTAATTCTGTACTTCTCTGTTTGTAAACAATCTTTCTGTTATTATTGAACATATCACATGAAAGTTAATGGGTTTAAATGATCATGAAGTTGAAAGAATGGTTAAAACATCACACAGACAAGGCTAATAAATGATTTTTTCACATTAAAGTGACAGTTCACCGAAAATTTAAATAGATTTTAATGTTTATCCTGGCTGTCTTCCATTTTAAGTGCATTACTGTAAGCATGATTTTTATTTCTTTATTTGTTTTACTGAAATTATCTTCTGTGGTGTCGTCAGAATGCCAAAGATGCGGCCTATGGAGCTTGTTTTGATGCTGGAACATTCCTGTAATTATTTGAACTCTGTGGTAAACACATTCTCATATTTCAAATTTACGAAACAAACAAGACAAAGGCAAATAAATTATCAAAACAGACAGTGCTGAAGGGATTTTGGCAGGAATTCATCTGTTGTATGGCAGCAACATTCTTGGCAGTGATGTCAGCGGTGGAATGTACTGATGCGAAAGTCTTTAAATGTCACTTAGCATTGAAACACACACTCAGCGTACGAGACAATGGATGCCTGCAGATCTACGCTTTGTTGAGGCTGTGATGTCATAACCTACAACTCTGAACTCTGACCTGTTGACGTGTTTTGTTTCCCATCAGACACTCTCAAGCAACAAGAGAAACAGACAGGGGAAAGGGAAGAGAAATTGAGCGTTTGGGTGATTCCATCCATCAGCGCTGACGGACTGTAAATGGCTTCAGGTGTGACACTGTCCTGACTGTCTGTCTGTCATCCCTCCACTCATCTGTCTTTCATCATTCGTTTATTTCCTCTCTCAGCTTTCAGCTGTGATGTTGCTCAGCAATGTGTCCTCCTCCTCCAAACTCACACCTAGCCTTCATTTCCAGTGTTCTGCATTCCTCTCATCTCCAGAGGAGACATCTCTTCCTGTCAGTCACTTCTGATTGAATTTGTCCTCCTTATCCTCACTCATTTATAAATGACAATTTCTGTCTCTTCAAAACATTTCAGATTTGACACTGTGTCAGAGAGCAATCGAACCACTCCGAACAGACAGACAGATTGATGGATAAAAAGACAAATTGGACAGACAAATGGACATTTGAACAGAACCTAGACAGACAGACAGAGAGACAGATAGATAGACAGATGGATAGATAGATAGATAGATAGATAGACAAGAGTGTCCTGTAAAAATGTTCAGAAACAACAGTCAAACGGCAACCACTTGAACGGGACGCCTCTCTCTCTCTTTAAAGTGTGTATTTATAGCCTCCAGTCTAACTGCTGTAGGATTTACACTAGTGAAATGACTGGAGGACAAAAATATGAACACTCATGCTGACAACACCATTAACACACAGTGTTGTGTGAGGTAATGTGAGGATCTCACGAGCAGACAGCTTCAATAATTCACACTGCTCTATAACTGAATAGAACATCAGTCATAAACAAAGACATATCAGAGTGAAACACACGCGCTGTGATCGTCATAATGCACTGATGTGTGTGTGTGTGTGTGTGTTCACGCACATGCTGGAAGCAGCTGCGGACGCTGGGCTCGATGTTGCTCCCGCCGAAGGCTGCCACCTCGCCCAGCTGTCGAGGGATCTGAATGGCATCATGCAGCAGAAGACCCAACTGCCTCTGATCACACGTATCGCCCGCCGATGACACCTGATTAAACAGACCTGAGAGATACACAAACAAAAAATCAGCTATAAATGTTTGCGTTTAAAAGGTAAACTTCTTTTCATTTACACAGCACTCAAAAAATGCTAAGAGAGACATTGCCAAAGATGTGATACGTGAGCACAGCAGCCAAAGATGTTTCCTTCTAGAAAACAATAAAAAAGAGCAGTAGAGTGAAAAATCACGTTCTGTGTGAACGGACACTGAGAGATGAGAAACTGAGAACCCTGACAGACAGGAAGATGCACGGACAGACAGACAGCAGTGCCTATCTATTTCAGACTCATGGATAGATAGCCAGACAGATAAATAGACTGATATAGACAGGCAGACAGGTGTGACATCTATCCACCTTGGATGGATGGATGGCTGAAAGGATGACATAAAATAGACAGACTTGCCAGATATCTGGATAGATAGCTGGACAGAGACAGATAGATAGACAGACAGACAGACAGACATACAAACTGCTACATACAGACAGACAGACAGACAGACAGACAGTCAGATAGATACAGTCAGATAGATACAGACAGACAGACAGACAGATAGATAGATAGATCGATAGACAGACACATTGCTAGAGACAGACAGCTAGACACAGACAGAATGCAGACAGCTAGATATAGACAGACATAGTCAACTAGATACAGACAGACAGACAGTCAGTCAGCTAGCTACATAAAGACAGACAGACATACAGCTAGAGACAGACAGACAAATTGCTAGAGACAGACAGACTGCAGATAAGACACACAGACAGCTAGATACAGACAGACAGTCAGTCAGCTAGCTACATAAAGACAGACAGACAGACAGACAGCTAGAGACAGACAGACAAATTGCTAGAGACAGACAGACTGCAGATAAGACACAGACAGCTAGATATAGACAGATATAGTCAACTAGATACAGACAGACAGACAGTCAGTCAGCTAGCTACATAAAGACAGACAGACAGACAGACATACAGCTAGAGACAGACAGACAAATTGCTAGAGACAGACAGACTGCAGATAAGACACACAGACAGCTAGACACAGACAGAATGCAGACAGCTAGATATAGACAGATATAGTCAACTAGATACAGACAGACAGACAGTCAGTCAGTCAGCTAGCTACATAAAGACAGATAGACATACAGCTAGAGACAGACAGACAAATTGCTAGACAGACAGACTGCAGATAAGACACACAGACAGCTAGATACAGACAGACAGTCAGTTAGCTAGATACAGACAGACAGACAGCTAGATACAGACAGACAGACAGCTAGATAGACAGACAGCTAGATACAGACAAACAGACAGTCAGCTAGATACAGACAGACATACAGACAGACAGCTAGATACAGACAGACAGACAGCTAGATAGACAGACAGCTAGATACAGACAAACAGACAGTCAGCTAGATACAGACAGACAAACAGACAGTCAGCTAGACACAGACATACTGCAGATAAGAAACAGTCAACTAGATAGACAGACAGCTAGATACAGGCAGACAGACAGACAGCTAGATACAGACAGACATACAGACAGACAGCTAGAGACAGACAGACTGCAGATAAGACACAGTAAACTAGATACAGACAGACAGCTAGATACAGGCAGACAGACAGCTAGATACAGACAGACAGACAGACAGCTAGACACAGACAGACTGCAAATAAGACATACAGACAGACAGACAGCAAGCTAGACAGACATACAAACTGCTAGAGACAGACAGACTGCAGATAAGACAGACAGCTAGATACAGACAGACAGACAGTTAGTCAGACAGACAGACAGACAAATAGATGTACATTTTCAATTAGTTTAACTTTTTACCCCACAGAATGTATAAAATGAAATTTTTCTTATCACCTGTAGATTCTTTCTCAGAATTATGTGGAAAATACATTATTGAATTTTTTTATTTTTTTATGATGCTAAAGGCTATATCTGCTTACCATTTCTCAAGTAAACATTGTTTATTTTTGTACAAATACCAGACTACATATATTTAAAAAAACAAATAGACCATATGTTGCTGTATGTCTCATCTGTCAAAGCTTTTCTAAAAGTTCTTTGTTAAACCAAATGCATAAAACACACTGTCGTTCTATGAAATCATATCCGCTATGTCACAGCTCATAACAGTAAGAGTTATCCACTCATATATGAGCATTCAATCCCAGCTCAAATGCTTCCCAGCATGCATCATTTATGTGGATAAATTAAAAAAGATAATTTAGCTTCTTTTTCATTTAATATTTAAAGCAGTCCCTTCAGTAATCTACATATGGTTTAAGATGTAATGTCGATGAACAGATTACACAGTACAGCAAATTAAAAGTCCTTCAGTTAATGATAAATGTCATTTTCCATAATTTTTCATCCATTACTCTATTTCTGACCTTGGCTCAGGGACGGAGATGACCTTGATTACCAGAGCAAGAGCAGACCCCTGCCAGAGCTGTCTCTCTCACACACACACAACCACACACACACACACAGCGCTGAGCTCCAGCCCTCTGTCCTGAGAGCTTCAGAGCAGTTCAATAAACTCTATTCTCACTCCAACACACACAACTAAAGTCACACAGACTCTATTTCACTGTGCGCTGTGTTAACTCAAGGTCAGCGAACAAACCCGTCTGTGATTGTCTGTCACTCAGCTCTGCTTTACAAACTGCTGACCGGACCGAGTGAACCTCAAACTGCTGACCGAAAATGGAAAAAACATGTTTTCCATCTCAACAAGCGCTAACCAGCGCAGGGATTCATCTACTGTGAGTTCTGATCACTCAGATGACTGAAGACTCCTGAGATGAACCAGAACTTAAAAGAGCAAAAAGCCCAATTACGTGAGGAAGTGCATCATGGGAGTGCAGTCTGTTCTTTCAGATGACTGTGCTGTTAGAAACAAAACAGGACCGAAAAAAGAGGTAGAGCATCATGGGGTTTGTGGCGCTTCACAAACACGTTGATTAAAAGGGATAAGGCTGGGATTTGTACATGTGATCTAACAATGCTGCAGGGCACAAACACCAAAATGTTCAGTAGATATTTAGATGATCTGCAAATACATAAAAACCTCAACCAGCAAAAATAATGAACCTCCATTTAGCCTTGGACCTCATAACAGCTATATTTGATGTTAATACACAGATATGTGATACAAGTTTTTGGACACATTTTACAGTAGGTGGTGGACTAACTAACAATGTGACAATGCTATTTCAGTATTTAATTAGATGATATTATAGCATTCGTTATTATTAGCTTTAAAGATCATTTAAGTTTAAATAATATGTAATTTTTAATTAATTTAGTTTTTTTTATTTTGTAATATTTAGTTTTTATGAAGTATTTAGCTTCTCATTTTATTTCAGTTTTAGTAATTTTAGCACATCAACTTCAATTTATTTTATTTCAGTTGTCGAGGCAACATTTCTACGTTTTGTTTCGGTTTTTCATCTAATCATTACATTTCCGCTTTATTCAAATGAATGAAAATGTTCAATTTTTCATTTGATGTTCATGTCCGGTTAAGATGTTAGAAAAACAGAAGACAATAGTCTGTTATTATTTTTGGTTCTATAATTGTTATGAAAAAGAGCAAAAGAGCTTACATTTGTATTTCTCCTCCAGGTGACCCTTACAAAGAGAGAGCAGCCCAATCTTCAAGGACAGAACTCGGATTTTCCCACTGCGACCCCTGTGGCAAAACAAAAAACATTGTGGGTAAGAGGAAAAGGCAGCAACGAGCACATGACAATACTACACATCTGCCATGATCGATTAGGGAATACACTTCAGTAGTGTTTATATAACACTGCATCCATATTGGAAGCATCCAAGGTCGGAGCTTGAGAGTGTCTAAAATACACACAACACATCAATCAACTGTGAACTCCAGGCGAGCCTTCAGCAAAATCAGGGGATTTCTTTGTCTCCCACCTGATTTACAAAGGAAATGCACTATTAAAAATAAAAATATTCAGAATAGTGAAACAAATTTAACGTTATTATTTACACAACTGCATATGCTATGGAAACCCGTTTCTGCTACTGATAAAAAAAAGAAAAAGTAATTGCGACTTTTTCATCTCTCAATTCTATACTGTTTTTCCCCAGAATTGCATGATATGAACTCACAATTCTAACTTTTTTTCTTAGAATTGTGTGATACAAACTAGCAATTGTGAGAAATAGTCAGAATTGAGAGATGTAAACTCAATTCTGAGAAAAATTGCGATATAAATGATTTTTTCTCAGAATTGTGTGATATAAACTTGAAATTCAAATAGTCAGAATTGTGATAATTCTTTTTTTCTCAGAATTGCGTGATATAATATGTAATTCTGAGAAATAGTCAGAATTGTGAGATGAATACTCGCAATCGTGAGAAAAAGTTAGAATTGCGAGAAATAAATTATTTTTTTCTCAGAACTGCGTGATATAAACTTCAGAATCCTAGAAAATCAGAATAGCTAGATGTAAACTCATCTCATATAAAACAAGTTTATATCTCGCATTTCTGACTTTATAATTTGCAATTGTGAGTTTAAATCACACAATTCTGGGGGGAAAAAGTCAGAATTGTGAGATTTAAATTCGCAATTCTGAGAAATAAAGTTGCGATCCTGTGAAATAAAGGCAGAATCGCATGATATAAACTCGCAAATGCGAGAAAAAAAAATCAGAATTGCGAGATATAAACTCACAATTGCGAGAAAAAGGTCAGAATTACTGTTCTGACTTTATGACTCGCAATTGCGAGTTTATATCATGCAAGATTTAAACTCGCAATTGCAAAAAAAAAAAAAAAAAAATTGTAAAGATAAATAGTTGCAATTAATGTGTTTTATTTTTTATTTAGTGGCAGAAAGTGGCTTCCATAGGTTTCGCATAAGGGGCCTCCAGAGGACCTTGTGAAGCTGGAAGTAGGGCGCCACCTGCAGGTGGGTGTGTGGTTAGCAGAGGGGATCGCATGTGTTAAACTCAGCTCCCGGAGGGCCACTCTGCGTACAATAGGAAATCAAATACTTTCCTATACAGTATGCGGAAAAACAGTATGCTGGAAGAGTAGTATGTCCGAAATCATTGTTTTAAAAAAACCGTAGGCGAAAAGTACCCAGATGACTTACTACTTCCACCCAGATTCTAAAGTGTGCAGTCGATGACATTACAATCCCATGAGGCCTCGGGAGAGGATTTATGAATGGCAGTGAAGCACCGCAACTGAAGCTGGTAGATCACGTGATAGTAACAACATGGGGGATGTAGTAATTTAAACTCGCAATTGCAAAAAAAAAAAAAAACATTTGTAAGATAAATAGTTGCAATTAATGTGTTTTATTTTTTATTTAGTGGCAGAAAGTGGCTTCCATAATATGCACATGATTCGAAACATTAGGTGCTGAGTAGACCAAAGACATCCTGAACTTAAAGGGATACTCCACCCCAAAATGAAAATGTTGTCATTAA